TCATGATAGACTTCATGGGATAGTTAGTGCGAACACAAATAGAATGCGATTCAAAGTAAGGACGTAATTTAATTGATGCTGTCACTAGTGCAAGTACTAATTTCTCTAAGAGTGCGTACCTGGTTTCCGGCCCATTTAACGACTTACTCATATAGTAAACCGGCGTCTGTTGGCCGTCTTCTTCCCGCGTTAGTACTGCACTGACGGCATGTTCTGATACTGCAAGATACAACTGTAACTCATCGCCATCTTTGGGTTTGGTCAATAGTGGCGGTGTTGTCATGTATTCCTTCAGTTGTTGTAGGGCTTTTTCGTGCTGTTCTGTCCATTCGAACTTTTTATTTTTTCTGAGGACATCATAGAAAAGCCGACACCTGTCTGACGACTTTGATATGAATCTATTGAGTGCCGCAACTCGTCCTGCCAGTTTTTGGACATCTTTGATTGACTTTGGGGATTCAATCTCTAGTATGGCTCGAACTTGTCCTGGACTAGCTTCTATTCCTCTTTCGCTGACAATGTATCCCAGGAATTCTTCCGACGACACCCCGAACGTGCACTTGGCCGGGTTAAGTTTCAGGTTGTACTTTCGTAACTTCAGGAATGATTCCCGCAGGTATTCGACGTGGTCTGACGCTTTTTTGGATTTAACCAACATGTCGTCGATGTATACCTCCATAGTTCTCCCGATTTGATCTTTGAATATCATTGTTATCAATCTTTGGAAGGTAGCTCCTGCATTTTTCAAACCAAAAGGCATAACAACATAACAGTACGTACCTGTCTCTGTAATGAATGCGGTTTTCTCCTGGTCGTCGGGGTGCAGTTGGATTTGGTGATAGCCACTAAAAGCGTCCATGAATGTCAGTATTTCATGTCCTGCTGTGGCGTCCGCGAGCATATCAATATGAGGCATTGGAAACATGTCTTTCGGGCATGCTTTGTTTAAGTCGGTGAAGTCGACGCATACTCTCCACTTAGGTTTTTTGCCTTTCTGATGTCCCTTCTTTTTCTGCACTACAACGACATTAGCAAGCCAAGTTGGATATTTTACCTCACGAATTTTACCTGTGCGCAATAGCGTCTCGACTTCTTGATTTATGATGTCGTTTCTTTCTCTGGCGAAGCGTCGCCTCTTTTGCTGGATAGGCCTGTGTAAGGGGTTGACATTAAGTTTGTGGGTGATTACTTGCGGATCGATACCCGTCATGTCGTCATGATCCCAAGCGAAGACGTCTTTATGTTCTTTGAGTAGGATTACAAGTTCTTCTTCCAATTGAATCGGCATGCTGCCCCCGATGCGGACGACTCTATCCGGATGGTTTGAATCAATGCTGATGTCCTTTGTTTCGCTGTCATTTTCCCCAACCGGAATAAAGTCGCCCTTTGATTGCTATGCGGATGTTGTAGCAGAAGCGGTCGACTTCATCGCTGTTTGGTAACACGACTTGGCGGTGGCCCTATCACCCTGAATGGACTGCACCCCCCACGGTGTTGGAACTTTTACCACTTGATGGTACGTTGAAGGGATCGCTCCCATTTGGTGAAACCAAGGTGTTCCAAGAATCATGTTGTAAGCGGGCAAGTCTTGGACAACATCAAACTTTACCTGCAAATTAAGACCAACAACATGTACGGGTAGAGATACATTACCGATTGTTTGACTGGGCTCGCCGTCGAATCCGACAAGAGTGGAGCCGGAAGCAGCTAAGTCTTCTTCCTTGTACCCCATCTGCTTCAACGTCTTCAAAGTTGTGATATTGGCGGTGCTGCCGTTGTCAACCAGAACTCGTCTCACCTCGCAGTTGGCCACCCTAAGGGCAATGACTAGAGTGTCATGATGGGCATCAGTAGGACTTGTATGATCTGATTCGTCGAAGGTGATGGGCGCATTTTTCCAAGCTTCACCTTTTCGGACGACTTGGTGTACCTGCGACGACTTGTCTCGGGAGTACTCCCGAGCCTGTCTCTTGGCTTTTGAGGTGTTATAGGTGTAGGAGGTCGTTGATGTTCTGTGGATGACTTCAGATCTCTTTTTAACATTGATTTCGTTTGCTCCGACATGATTTCCGTCAGATAACCGTTCCTCAGGAGGTAGGCGACCTCCTTCCTCAAAGCGACGCAATCCTCTGTGTTATGCCCGATGTCGTCATGGAAGTCACATCTCTTGCTAGGATCCCGTCGCCCATTGGGTTTGTCAGACTTTCTGGGCCACCGAACCTTGTCTCCCAATTTGTCCAAAGCATTGATAAGTCCAGTTGTAGTGACATTAAAACAATATGTCGGAATGGCAGGCGGCAGATCGTCGAGCCAGGAAGTCGTCGAAGCAACGTGCCGTTCTTCATTCTTCGCATAAGGCTTTCCAGCCCTATAATCATGTTTTCTGGAGGTGCTGGCCTTCCGCTGTCCTCCTTCATAGCCAATCGCACGAAGTCGGGACTGTTCGTCCTCTTCGAGCCGGATGAAAGCCAAAGTCATGGCTTGGACATCTTCAAACGTCTTGCAAGGAAATTTGGTCAATTCCCTATATAAGTCTGAGTCTTCGCGCAATCCTCTTCTGAAAGCTTCTACAGCCGTTGGCGTGTCACATCTCGGAATCGACACTTTCTCCTTGTTGAATCGATGCAAGTAGTCACGTAAGGATTCGTTATGTCTTTGTACTACACGATATAAGTCACTGGTTTGCTTCTCCAATGCTCGACTACTCGCAAACTGCTGGGTGAACAAGTTAACCAGATCCGCGAAGGAGTCGATGCCGTCATTCGGCAAGTTGACGAACCATGTTAACGCTGGACCCGTCAGTGTTGTCCCGAACGCCTTGCACATGCACGCTTCCCGTTGATCCGGCCTGACAGAAATAGCTAACATCCGTTGCTTGTACTGAGCGACGTGCTCTACCGGATCTGTGGTTCCGTCGAACAATTTCATAGGTGGGACTGCGAATTTCTTTGGGATTTCGACATCTGTTATATGTCGTCCGAATGGAGAATCCGCATAGCAAGTTCGTGTTGCCATGTCAAGAGGACGAGGAACCCCTGGCATGCCGTTATACTTTTCTCGCAACTCTTTCAATTCTTGCATGATAAAGGCCAACGGTTCCGCCATGTCTATATGCATCTGGGGACCTCCTGCTCCGAAATATGCTCCCGCCTGAGACACCCTCTGTTCGGATGGCGAACGTATGACGATAGTTTCCGGATGCTGTTGTCTCGGATTGCTGAAGTCGACATCTCCGATCATGTCGTCACGCTCGGAAATGTGTCGTCCTTGATGTTCAGCAAACAAATTGCGAAACACGTTCCTTCTGGGGAGTGGTGCAGGACGAGATGATTGCCCCCTTGCACCTGTTGAACCGGCCAGCGAAAGGGGAATGAAGGGCTCCGTTGAAGTCGACACGGGGATAGGGATCGGCATCTGCTGGTTGACGGTCTGCATCCCCGATGTCGTCGTTTTGGTTCGCAATGAATCCGGGAAGAAGCACATGGGGATGCTTGCTTCTGGAGTTGTCGCTGGGACAAGAGGTTCATAGGGTATGAGCTGCGAGATCGCCGGGACACCTTTAGCATATGGATCAAAGTTTGAAAGTCCCGGGAAAGCTTCGGATGTGAATGTGACTGTTGAGGTTGGGACTGGTATGGAATCTACGCCCAACTTTGATGCGACAGTCATTACCTCTTTCCCTTTTCGTGATTTTGACGCTATGGACGCCACCGATTGAACTTGGGATCTCAAGGCGTCATTTTCTCCTTGGAGAAGAGTTATTCGTTGACGCATTTCCTCTCTTACGGCCTCTAGCTGGATTTGAGTATCCTCCTTCGACTGGTTAGCCTCCTTGGCCGCACGTAATTCTTCCCGGAGGGCTTCCAATTGTGCCGCTTCGGCACTTTTGGCCGCGCGGAGCTCCTTTCGGACAGCATCAAGCTGCGCTTGCATCTCATCAAATAGGGGATTAGAGCTTCCGGCCATCGTTGATTCTTGTTTTGCAAGAATTTCCCACAGACGGCGCCAATTGTTTAAACAAGAAATAGTTTATCCTAGAACGGAGTAAAAAATGGGAATCAAGCAATATAGAATCAACTATGGAAGAATTGGTAAAGAAAGGAATTTGATATATGATGATCAAGAAGAAGGATCTTCACAATATGCTTTTGAATTACAATGTAGAGACTGAATGTATGTGTATTCGTAACTGAATGTGCTGATTACATAGAGCCTCTAGATATTTATAAGAGATACATTTAATGCATTTTTGTCCGTTGACGACATGATCCGACCGTTACGACGACATGTCCGACCGTTACGACGACATCAATATCGTCATTATTGCATCATCAATTCTGGCCAGCCCTTTGAGTAACCTATGTCATAATTACAATAACTACTCTAATTATATACATAAAACTGTCCAGATTTAATTAGCTAGCATTAATCCCAATGAATACGTCATTGATTGCCACGGTCAACCATTTCTGAATGTAGTCAAGGCCGCCCAACTCGTGTACCAACATTGATTCCCATTTTTTACTCCGTTCTAGGATAAATTATTTCTTGTTTAAACACTAATCTTCATTAGTTGTTTGTTTTTTCGAAAAATAGTCTACAATAAATTAGCAACGTCTCTTACATGATATTATCGCGACACTCTCATGAAAGAGATTACAAGTTGGCTTCTCATCCTATAACAAAAAAATCAATTAGGAGTGTAAAGGTCCAAATCGTGTTACTATTGTTTGGTTAACGTGCTTACAAAGTCTAAAATCACAAACCAACAATACTGTTTTGATTTACTCCCTATTAGAAAAGTCTAAGTGTGTGGAGGTTGATGTGACATTTACAATGAGGTTTTCCGCAGACAAAGCTTTGCGTTAAGTGGAAATGTCGTGGCATGATTGAGATTGATAGTTGCAAAATGTTTGGTTTTGGGGAGTGTTAGGTTTAGTGCTCGTATTGTCTATTATTATGCTCTCACTATATATTGCCCTTTTGTTTTTGTCTAACTTATATCTGCTGAATTCATCAACAACCTCCTGGTCTCAATGAATCGTATTCTTCCAAAAAAAACATTTCAATTCCTGTAAGTACAAATTCCTTCCTTTCGAAATAAAAGTTAGAATAACTTTATTATCAACCAATAGTCAATACATGTAATTCGCGACTTTCATAATGAATCATTTAGAGAGAGTTTATTTGCAATTTCATACAGGGGTAAGACGGCATGCATCTGAGTATTCGACCCCTTGCCCCATCGTAAGTGCGAGCCTTTGCGACAATGGAGTCATGTTGTTGTTGTTGTAGTTTTTGTTGTACTATAAGAGCTAAACTTCAGTAGGATTTCTATAATAACAAACAATTTGGATAATCATACTTATCTTAAAATTACGGGCCCGTTTACTGACGAGGTCATTTTTTCAGTTTTCTTTTCTTTTTCCGTTATTCAGTTATCTATTTTAATTTTTACAGTTTCACTATTTCCAATTTTCTATTTTCACTTTCCAGATTTTCTTTATCAAATCTGAAAACATGTTCATCAAATTTTTTCCATCCGTTATGGGAAGACCAAAAGTACAGGCTCAGTCTGGAACTGGACCTAGTACAAGTGTACAACCCAAATAAAGTATCTGAAAGTTAGGACTGGATCTGGTCAGTCTCAACGGTTAGTTTGACTAATTCTTCTCGTCTTTTCCTATTGGTTGAAACCCTAGCGACTCTTTTAAAATTCTTCAATTTGAAAAAAATGATTTAAAAAATGGGGACCAGACCGCCGGATCATCGAGTGGACCTAATCTTCTCTAAATTGTCCAACCGTCCAACACTTGATCGTTTGGGTTTGGTGAACCTTTTGGCCAATGTGATGTTTACTTTGAAATGTCTGAATATAATTTTTAGAGAATATTACCCGAAATAGGAGTAAAAAAGTTTGAAAATTCCAAAATAGGACTGTCATGTTTTTATTCTCAAAATAAGACTAATTACTGTCATGTTTTGGCAGTACCCAAGGGCAGATGTAGCGGATGTAGGTTACAAGTAATGGGGGCACATGCCCCCTATAACCCCCAATAATAATAATCTCCTAATAACATTTACGGAGTATAATATGACTCTCAAATTTTTGTATTTTATTAAAGTGCCCCCAATAAAATAAAGAAATGCCCCCAATATACTCCGGATTTGATTTGTCAGGGTGAAATCTTTCAATCCACCCACGTGTCCCCACAAGCCAAATACTAATATACGATAGTACTCTGTATTATTATTTTTTATTTAATTCGAATTATTTATATTTTGAGTTCTGCCTCTTAGACCATTTAGAGTGGTGAGGTATTAGGAGTCCAAAATGTGAAAATGGCATTTTTGGACTCCTAATTTCATACATTGGTGGAGTGTAGAGATATTAAAAATGGGTTTGGGGAGGGAAGAGGTTAAATTTGGAGGAGTTTTGGACAGCCAAAAAGTAAATGGAAAAGAAAAGAAAAAGGGGGTGGGGGCGTACCTGATGTGCGCAGGCTGGGAGCACACGGCTTAGCTGAGTAATTTTCCCCGCTGATGTCATGTTCATGTCAGCATGAGGTCAGCATGCACTACCAAATTTATTAAAAAAAAACTTTTTGGTAGATCCAACAACTGTGATGATTTTGACACTGTTTGAACGAAAAAATGATACAACGGCTGAAATTTAAATCCAACGGTTGAAATAATTTATTTTTTTTCACTTATTTTTAATTAATATTTTTCTCAAAATTTATTTTTAATGAAATTTATTTATTTTTACATCGAAATGTGTCTTTTTTTTATTTTATAATTAATCAGAGAAAAAATTTAAAGGAAAACATTACTTATAATAATTTAATTAATCCACTACACCCTCCGTTCCGGAAAATTGTTCCCACATTGACTTGGATCAGAATTTAAGAAAGTGGGAATAAAGTGGAAATGTATGGTTGTGATTGTGATAGAAAAAGATAAATGAATGTGAGCCACACAAAACTTTCCAAAAGGGGAAAGTGGAACAATTTTTTTGGACGGCCCAAAAGGAAATCGGGAACAATTTTCCGGGATAGAGGGAGTATCATTTTGGTTTCCTCTTTCACATAAGATTGATTAAAAATTGGATTAATATTTATCGCATGTAGTATTCGGGTGCTTGAATTGGAAATTTGGAATCGAACCTGCCCGGCCCTATTATCAATGGCGGATCAACGTTAGCAGAAGCCTAGGGGCCATGGCCTCCCAAAGAATAAAAATAAAAAATTATTTAAATATGACTAAAATAAAAATAAAATTCATAAGTCATATTTAGGGAATAAAATATTCTAAGAAGTTTTAATCAATTTATTCTTTTATAAAATTAAATAAGTCATATTTAGGAAATAAAACATACCTAATTTTTTTTCCACCTTTGTGTATGTTTTGATCCTATATTGAGCAATTTTTATATGGAGTAATAAAAGTACTAATACCTTTACATATGTTTTTTCACTCCAAGAATTGAGCATTGGTGATATACATACATATATGTTTTCGATTCTCAATTAATTTTACTTTGACAGAACTATTTACTTATTTTTAAATTTTCTAATATAGATACACGTACAATGAGAGAAGTACAATACATGAGAGTAAATAAGAAATCAGAATATTGCTAAACTTATAGTCTACATTTATCTATTTGAAATATAATTACGTGTTTATGTGTTTATGTGTTTTATCTGTAAATATAAGTATAAAATTTATAACTTTTATATAGTTATATTAATCAAAATCATTGATTAAAGTTTACCATAATTGACTTGAAAAGTCAAAGATGATAAATTTTAAACAACCAAAGTAATATATTGCCCGAACATATCACATGGTACATTATATTTTCATAATGGTCCTTCAAGACCAACTTCTTTGGTTTGCGGTGCCCCCAATATGACATAATCCCAGATCCGCCACTGGCAGTACCAGACTTCAAACATGACAGTATTTTCCAAACTTGTCAGTAATTACTCCTATTTTGGGAATAAAAACATGACAGTCATATTTTGAAATTTTCAAACTCTTTTAGTCCTATTTCGGGAACTTTCCCTAATTTTTACGTAATACTTTCCCTAATGGCCGGCCCACATGCATGCGCCTATAGTCCTATGCAGTGGCGGATCTAAGCCTCGGGGGTCAGTGTGTGCACAAAAATATACATGAACATTATATGTACATAAAATTTCAAGAATAAAAAATGTAATGTACACTGTAAAAAACATTAAATTTGTAATTATTTATTGCTATGTAATTTCATGTCAACCAAATTAACGTATTTGACAAAAATACATGTATAAGTGTATACAATTATATTCTTATACCACCCCTGTCCCAATATGTTTGGGACAAGAGGGTATGATAAAACTTTTAAGAAAAAATGGAATTATGTAGTTGATACTGAATTGATAAAGTGTGAATAAAGTAAGAATAAATTGTAACAAGCAGAAAAAGCAGTTGGGGAGTTTCGAACCATTGACATGAAGCATAGGAAAATTTTTTATATCGATGCTACAACCATATAGGCTAAGAACACTTTTTGGGGTGAAGCCTATGCTTACCCTCGTTATACACTACGTCCGCCCCTGGTCCTATGGTTAAGTATTTATATGAAATGATTTAAAAAGGCGATTCTTGTTAATGATATCAAATCTTACTATGTTAGTCAAACCCCTATTGAATATATGAATATATGATTGAATATATGGAGTATCAAATCGTTAGATGGACTGTTTAGGATGTTTTCTGTTGGACTGAAATTTGTTGGTCTAGTCTGGTCTGGTCTGGTCTGGTCTGTTTAAGTCTGGTCTGGTCTGAACTGGTCTGGTCTGGTCTGGTAAACGTCTGGTCTCTGTGTATTTTATAACTATCCAAGTCTGGTCTGGTCTGTTTAAGTCTGGTCTGGTCTGGTCTGGTCTGGGACTGAAAACAGTCCAAAAGAAATCATCCTTAGACCAGTAAAATCTTACTCGTTTTATAACTCACATACTTTTGTTAACAAGTATTAATACTATAATAGTTATATCACCCCCAGGGGCGGACCCAGGAAGTTTGTTTTGGGAGGGCGGTTACTTAAACAAAATATTTTTTGGGAGGGCGAAAATTATTTTTTATTATATATATACACTAAAAAATTTTGTTGTTGAGGGGGAGGGGGACCGCCCCCCTGAGTCTGTACTACGGTCCGCCCCGGATCACCCCACCAAATCATTTTTTGATCATCTCGGTAGTCCAAATATTCTTAACTTATTTAAACATGATCCAACAATTCACAACTTATGATACACAAATCCTACACCTATGTATGCTTCGATATTATCTATAGTGTTGTGCATCACGTTTTACCATGCAGATCCATAGGCATCTGACTTTTACAACTAACTGCTCCTTTAATTTGCTCATGAGAATTTGAAACCATCATTTGGTCTCGACCAAATGTTTGACCTGCATGTTGTCCTCAACATAAAGTCAAACTATGACTTTTCAGTGATCTTCAACCGTTTACAACTATAAGTGTTTAACTTCTATCTATGAGCGCTCTTAGAGAGCCTCCCCTCGACCTCTAGGGACGGAGCCAGAATGTAATGTCAGTGGTGTCAAAATAATATACCAACGAGAATTACCCTAAGGAGCGCAGATCATATCAGGCCGGCCTGACGAGAACCTCCGTCAAGCCGAGGATATTTGGGGCCCTATCCGATGGAATTTTTTGATAAGATATTTTAGACATGTTCTTCATTGAGTCCAGTTTATGTCCAACAAATATCAGCTAAAATTTCAACCGGGAAAATAGTTAAATAAATTCTTTAAAAAAACTACGCTTTATATATATAAACAACACAGTTTTTGTAAAGAATTTAGTTACTGCCTTCCTGATTGAACTTTAAGCTGCAATTTGGTTGACAAAAAACAGACTTAATGAAGAACATGCTCAAAAAAATTCCACTGGAAAGAGCCCCAAATGGCCTCGGTCGGTCTGACAGGATTGCTACTCTTACCCTAAGTGAGAGTAAAAATAATGTGAATTTTAAATTAGGAGTATTATATTATTGTTTAGGTTTCTTATTAAATATCATCAACATTATTCTTTCAATAAAAGTGGTGTCATTTTAACACTTTCAATTTATGTATACATATATATACAATAAATATATAATTTGAGTGGTGTCATTTGACACCATAACCCAGCACTTGGCTCCGTCCCTGTCAACCTCAATACTTTAAGAGCACTTCTGAGGGTTAATTTAATTAGAAGATTTGCTTGCAATTTTACAGCTAATAGCTTACCATTAATTGAAGTATAATTTTTCCTTGTGTTTGAGAAATCTAATTGACCAAAATGAGCTACTAGCCTCAAGAAACAAAATTATTACTCCCTCCGTCCCTAATAACTTTGCCAAGTTTGACCGGCACGGAGAATAATAAAGTAAAAATTGTGTGGTTGAAGTTTGTGCAGAGGAGAGAGAATGAACTGGAACCACAAATTCTTTACTTGAAAGGAAAAGTGACAAAGTTAATGGGACATCTAAAAAAGGAAAGTTGACAAAATTATAAGGGACGAAGGGAGTACATACGAAGTATATTACGGAGTATTAAGAATAATAAATGAAGAGGGTGAAGTTATAGTTAATCATTGAAGTACATTTTCCTTTGTTTTTTTTTGCAAATGCTTATGTGGCAAATTTAGCCATAAGGGCATTTAACTAACCGTTGGAGATGCTCTAAGAGCATCTTCATTCATACTATGTAAATAAATGATTTATCTATTACACATCATAGTTACATCATATTTATTCAATAAATTTTAAATAATCTCAAAGTTTAAAACTTTTCATCAACCATTAATGATACTCAAATAATTAGTTCTTTTAGAGAATGCATTGAATGTAAGTTAACTACAATCTAAAATAATCCGGGATTTTGAATCTTGATAGTGGATTTTCTTTTTCAATAATCTCGCTACCTAGTCTCTCACTCACAATGATAATCTTAAAAATAATCTTACACATCATCCAATTATATATGTATGACTTCTGCAGTACCACTTCATCAAGATATAATTAATAGAGTAGAGTAATATTTGACTCGATGATATGTATAATAAAAGATAATGAAGAACGAGTCTTATTGAGTATATTATATTAATTAATATATGAACATTAGCTCTGATTAGCTAGATATAAAAAATTGTGAAGAATAGGAAAGATATTACAGTATAAAAAGCAGAACATAAAAAAATGCTGCGAATTCTAATGAAAAATTTTCTAAGATGATTTGGCAGAATTTAACCGTTGGGTTTAAGCAAATGGAAAAAGTAATCTGTTAAATCCGGGTTCCATCCTAAAGGTCAACCCGATAAGAAGAGTAATTCAAATCTTAATATAGCACTTAATTCCTTCACAAGTTTTTGATGTGGGAATACAACACCCCTACTCACGACCAGACACTTCGTCTGGATAGTGCCGTCGTTCATTTTTTCATCGATTCGTTATTGTCACTTTTTTATAATCGTGTCATTATTTTTCATAAGACTGATTCGGCTCTGGTAGCATCTTAAGACTCCGGGTTTCATCCAAAAAGATCGTCCTGATAGGAGGAGTAATTCAGATCAATAGCACTTAATTCTTTCACAAGTTTCCGCTGTGAGAATTCAACATAATCATTGCGTATTTATATGGAAAATCTGAATTACGGAGTATTTTTATTGAACGTTTTGGTCACGATCTAAGCTATGGACCTATGGTCATCCCAATTTGATCATTTTTAATATGACGTTCATTAACCCTTGATTTTTTCCATTTGATCAAGTCCTTGAACGTAAGGATATTTTTACTTGGACTGAAATTTATAACTATAGAAGGTTGGTCTGGTCTGAACTAGTCTAGTCTGTTTAATTCTGATTTGGTCTGGTCTGGGATTGAAAACAGTCCAAGTAAAATATCCCAACATACGGTACAATTAAATAATAGCTTTTATAAATAGATTATAACACATAAGTGATATGAAAAAGATAGACACGTAAAAACGAATTAATACAATTTTTCTCTTTTATCATGGTATCCTAAATCTTAATTACTACAAAAAAATATGAACCAGTAAATATTGAAGTTGAGGTTAATATTATGCAGAAGATCACTGCAATAAAATGATATAGGCAGTGGTGGTAAGGGAGGATTTGGTTGAGTAATGAGGGGGTTATGGTAGATACAAGGTGCGAAAATAGAGTTTGGGGGAGAGAAGGTTCGAAAGTTGGGATAATTTGGGGAAGATGAAGTGGTTTGGGGATTATTCGTGTACCCTACCCGGTACCCCCATCATACCCGACCGGGTATGCTTCCCCAACTGTGATTTCGAAAGCCAATCTGACCGAGTATAACAAGTACTCGTTCGGATTTTTGAGGCAGTAGCCTTTGGAACTCTTTTTCCGTTTATACCCAACCGAGTAAAGTGTGATACCCGACCGAGTATGGTCCGGATTTTTATTTCATACATAGGTTATCGTGTACCCGTTTGGGTACCCTGTCATACCCTCTTATTTGGAGCTCAAGTTCGACTCATTTAGGTAATAATGGTTTTTGGGTTCAAGGCCGAAGCTCGAAAAGCTATACAATTGAGGTGTGTTCGGCTCAGTAGATGTTTGGTGCTAAATTTGAGCACTTAGCTTGATAATTAATGAAAAGATAAATATGCGCGAATGCAAAAGTTTAATTTATGCTTGATACGTAAGAGGCCGGTTCTCAAATTATTTGACAAATACTCGATTCTTTAACAAAAATAATATTGAATAACGGAATCAAGTACAATGAATTTAAAGGAAAAAACGAGTTCAATAATGGGTTGTCAAGGGTTGATGCAACTATCTTTCACGGCTCCGTACTGTGTTAACTTTCAAATATCTCGCAATAAAATGACTCGTAAAAGGGTTATGTCAAGGATTTGCCCTTGATTAGCATATCTTTGCCAAACCCGAAAAATATCTGCAAGAGTGATTTTACCATTGAACCACGAAATTGTGACCGTGTTTATAATATGACAATTAGCTAGAAGACAAATTGGAAATTAGAAACAATGTAGGGATGATTTAGTTCTAATCTAAATTATAGTTTTCTTTGAAAAAATTGAAAGATTGTTTAGAATTGTCCTATTGAGTTGTTGAAAACTACTAGACTTGTAATCCATATATGTATGTGCATCACCTAAAGCCGATATTGTGCTTATCAATTTGCAGTTAAAAAATTAACTTTTGCAGACCAGACATAACCGATTAGTGCCAAACCTGGTCCGACCCGTCCCTCTATGCGATCGCGCCCTTTAGCTTTAAGAAAACTTCTAGATCCGCTATTGAATACATTATATATATATATATATATATATATATATATATATATATATATAGTTTGGATCATATACAAACCCAACTTAATTTACAAAATACAAAATAATCCTAGCCCTCCATCTAAGCATGATTTCCATGCGGCTGTTTTAATTCGAAGCCTAAGAACGTAAGTGACTTGAGGGTGTATTGGACATTTCATTGATCTCTAACCATGGAAAGAGAATCACGTACAATTTACCAACGTGCTTTCTGTTAATATCTCTATTTCCATACCTGCGATCAAGAACTTGTCGTGCGAGACTCATCATTGCACTTCCGTTTTGCTTCTCTCCAGTCGTTCAAAGCCATGGAATCTGAATCAGGTATGTGTATGAACTTTGTTTGAATACAAAAAAGCTTTCCCGGAAAAAAATCTCCCTACAACATCGTTTCAATACAAAAAAAACGTGTATTCGTTTACCTCTGTTTCAATACAAAACAATCTTCCTAAGAGTTGTAGATTCTTGTCAATGATTGTGCGGCAGTACAGTTTTTTAAAATTTGATTGAAGCCTACAAATAACGATTGCTATTGTCACCTTGCTTATCTGCCAAATTCTTGTTTGTTGTTTATGTTCTTCGTTTTGTATGCACAAGGATTCACTGGAGTACATTCACATCCCTAGCTTTTGAACATAGTTTAATTTTAGTTCATATTTTTCTGTTGGTCAAACTTCGTATGTATCATGCAGACACATTATTCATGGTGCAGCTTGAATACAAAGAAGTTTATTGTTATCTGTTTTTAATACAAAAAAATGTTTAAACATTTTATGATGGAATCGGAATCAGGTATGCTTCTATGAACTTTGTTTGAAAACAAAAAAATCTCCCCAATACATTGGTTAAATACAAAACAATCTGCGTTCAAATCTCCCCAATAATAAATTTTGTTCATGAATATTGTTTATGTTGTATAAGTGTGCATTCCGGTCAAATCTTTACTGCATTGTAAAAATAATTTATATGCATATTTAAACACATTCATGTGCACCCTGTAGTTGTACATTAGTCACTACTAATTGTATTACATTTAATTTTTTTCTTCATACTTTGGTACTTTCTCATAATTATTTTTATCAGTAAACACACATAATGGATTTTTTTGTAACACTAAATGCATATATTCACACATCTCACCATTTATTGGCTACAAAAATTCATGAGTTTTATTGACCATGTAATTATAACTTAATTTGCACACGTACATATTTTGAAGTGCACCTTAGGTTTACATCTGTTGCATTACTAATTATTCTGAATTGTATGTGCTATTTTGTTTTTGTCCCGGTAGGTGAACCACCAAAATCAGTGGGGCATATGTCGGGGAACATATGCCGAGTTTTATTAAAGAGAAAAAATAAAGTTACATAAAGAGGGGGACTATACCAAAACCTCTTCCAAAAGAATTACAAGAGTCTTCTAAAAGAAGGTAAATTGAAAATATCTAAAATAATAGCAGTCTTTATTGAGCCAGGTAATGAGTCCATATCGACCAAATAGTAAACTGGGTTGGCGATACACCAGCAAGCAGATGCGCAGGCCCGTTCCCTTCTCGCATTGTATGTCGGAATCCAATCCCTTTCCTAAAAGATAACTGTATTGTATGTGCTATAAAATGTGCATCTATCTTTGTATGCTATTTGTTATATTTTGTCGTGTTTTACTGCATTGTACACACAATTTATATGCATATTTAAACACATTGATGTGCACCATGTAGTTGTACATTAGCCACTTCTAATTTTATTACGTTTAATTTGTTTGTCCATACGTTGATGCTTTCTCATAATTGCTTTTATGAGTAAATACACATACAATATTTTTGTATGTGTAAACATACACAGTCCCACATCTGATCTCACCGATCATTGACTAAAAAACTTCATGACCTTTATTGACTATGTAATTATAACTTAATTTGCACACTTGCATATTTTGAAGTGCACCTTAGGTTTACATCTGTTGCATTACTAATTACTTTTTAATTCTATGTGCTACAAAATGTGTGTTTGCATATGTGATGTGTTATATTTTACACGAACAACAGAGTATCCCATGTAAAAATAATGACTATTTTGAACTGTTGCGTCTTATGCATTTCATTTAACTTCAAGCAGCAGTCAAATGAAAAAAAAATGTATGTAACCCTCAAACATTCATTAAAACAAACTGTATTCAATGTCAAGTTTGACACACCAAAATCAAGCATAAATCAATCTTTAATTTTAAAATGCAAATCTGTCATTCTAAAACTGTAATGTTATAACAAACTGATATCAACTGCAAATATCACTATGAATTCATTCATTGCTTGGTGCTCCCTTCTCCTGTTCTGCCACCTTCTGACATTCTCACCTTTGTTTTTCATATTTCTAGAATCCATGTACTTCACAAACATATTTATCTGCACAAATTTTGTTTAGCCTCATAAAATTTAACCGTCGTTTAAATAATATTTCGACAGTGCACTTTATAGTAAGTACTAGTTACATAATAGTATTTAGTACCACGATTTGAGCCATTTCCCTGTATTTATCAAAATTAGGTGCTCTTGCCAATGAGCTATCAATGATATCCACATGCTTCAGCTTAGTATTCACACAAAGTACATAGCAGTGATGCACTCGCATGATCGGGAAGACAAACTGCACCAAAATAACCATTTTCACAATTCACAATGTAATAACAGTGTGCTCTTTTACTGTTTCCAACCCAAACTCAATTTCTTCCACAAAGAGGGTGTAAGCATTGTCAGTACTCAATCCCAGGTGTGTCTGTGTGTCAAGCTACAACACGATTCCAAAATAGTTATACCCAACTGTAATCTTCATGCATTGCGTATAGATGAACACATGGAAATTCATCTAAAAAAATTTCATAGAAATTGCAATTCTAAAATAAAACAGCAATTAGTATTTTTCACAAGTGCGTACTTGCACAGTGCAAGACATTAGCAAATAAACAACTGGGAGACTCATTGCTTCAGACGCTCTCTTTATTACAATACTGGAATTCATCACTAAATGCACTTAATAGCATCTTTAAATGCACTTAAATCAACATTCATATGCATATTAACTCCATCACACAAAAATCAACATCCACATTTAAATCAACATTTATATGCATATACATATGCACCTTCATATGTACAAACCTCAATTACAGACACCACTCCTTGTAATGAATTGCACCGTACCTTTCTTGGTCTTCATTCTTAGCCTGCATTTATTTCAGCTGCACCTACCATTCTTAGTCTGCATTTTGACCAGCATACACAACATCCTCAATCACAATTCAATTGTACCTTTAGCTAATCTATTTTTCACAAAAAATTTAACCTAATCAGGATCAACACCCTGATTTTTATGAGCTAATTATGTTAATCATAACTAATATCTATTTTAGTCGTTTAAATAAGTTTCTTCTATGAATAATGTGATATATTATGTAACCTGTTTTGTTTGTTGGCAGGTAACGTTGACCGGTAAGCTCATAATAATTTGAATTGAAGAAATAAATGATGTTTTAGATTTTATCATTTCATAAGTAAAAGGGAGATTTTTATTATTTGTTTCAGAAACATATTTTCTTTTAAAGATTTATATAGACCCGAATTGGATCAATTTATTAGCCCAATTAAGTATTTTTTTTAATAAAAGCCCTAGGATTAATGCTAAAGTACACTCATAAGCCTAATTATCGTAAAAAGAAACCTGCGCCTCCCTAACTTGATTGCGGCTCCTCTCTGGTTTTCTCTCCCAAAAACATTGCTTCACCTTCAAATTCAGTACTTTAGTTTTCTTGGTTTTGGAATTTGGTAAGATAATTTCCGTCTTATTCTCTTTACTTTCGTTATGCTATTGGTATTGTTCAGATGCATAAGTTCTGAAAAGATTTTCGTTAATTCCCTTAGTCAAAATAAAGACTTGCAAGGCTCTGTTTTAGTAAATTGATTGAGTCAAAAGATTCAGTTAAAGTTAAATCATCTTTTGAATATCCACTTGTTAATAGCTATTTCAATTTCTGTAAACATCATCAGTAAAATATCAATGCCCAATCATATATCTTTCGCTGGGGATTTTCTAGTAAAGCATGAACGCTAGGATATTCATCAATACCTATCTTTAGTTGAGTATAAAACAACCTTGGACAGCTTGATTCTTTTTAATACGAAGTATTGCTATTTCAAAAGGCGTTCAGTTTCCTGAATCTGAACTATCAATTTAATTCTCTTTCAAATTTCAGTATTTTACTCACACATGTACGCCTTGGATCAGCAGCACTACTTTTATAAAGAAAGCTTATTTCGGTTTTAATTTTCCTTAAGGGGTTATGTTGATTTGGGATTTGGTTGTTGCCCTGGTTGGTGCTTTTCAGCAGAAACTTGAAGTTTATTTATAGAGCTTTGGTTTAAACTGTAATGGATTTGATAGTAATATTATTGATTACCAATTAGTTTTATCCAGTTTGTCCATATTGAGAGAGAGCAAGTAAATAATCTCTCAGATGATTATATTCCAGTATGTAGTAGCGCTAAGCCTCCATAATGTAGTCATGCTTAATTACTAGCAGATTCTTATTTTGCTATTACATTTAATTAAAGATTTAAGAGGAGAGCTTATCGGAAGACGTTATCAAGGTGCCACACTTATTTGAGTATTTTCAGTTCAGCTGTTAACAGGTAAGTTCACTACCACCTGTACATGTTTGTTCAACCAAATGAAACAAAGAAGTCTGGTTGATTTTTAATAGATAATTTTAGACTATTTGCTATTATGTGAACTAGGTGAATTCTGTGATGAGTTATTTTATTTGTTGTATTAAGTTATGATTATTATCTGGCATAGTCAAGAGTTTGTTAGTACTTTTATTTTCAGGTTTGATGATGTTTTTTTTAATCAAACGTCACTATAAAAGAACTAATACTTAAAGTGAAAGATTAAGTGATATGTACTCGGGAACAAGTTCCCACAGAGTTATCAGTTATCAGTTTCAGAGAGTCCGATATGTTTAGTGGGTCGCTCCCCTGAGCTGTCGGATTGGCGCCTTTGAGTACATATCACGGGCCCACAGAGTAAAATTAGCCACAAAGAGTATTACAGAAAGTTTAATGAGATCTCTTTCAGAAAGTTTTTACAGAAAGTTGTTTTTGAGATCTCTTTCAGAAAGTTTTTACAGAAAGTTGTTTTTGAGATCTCTTTCAGAAAGTTGTTTTTGAGATCTCTTTCAGAAAGTTTTACAGAGATGTTTTGAGAAGAAATTTTGAGATCTCTCCAGCAGTTTTGAGAAATTATTTTAGAAAATATTTTCTTTTGAGATCTCCCTCAGAATGTAATTGAGAAGTTATGTGTTAGTTATTTGTTCAGTGCATGCTTATAGCCTAAATTTATCTATTGATAAATTGGCATAGACTTCTAGATATTTTTGTGGGTCCATAGTGACTTACTAAGCGTAAAGCTTATCAGTTTTCTTTCTTCGCATGTACAGATACTAAGGGTAAGGCCAAGGCCTAGGAAGATGATGAGGGAGTGGAACGTGTGCCAAGATGAGTTGACGGGAACGACCTTGGCGGCTTCTAGCTAGATATTATTTAGTTTTCAGTATTTCAGTGTTATAATAAAGTGATAAATATTACTTTATTTTTATTTGAGGATTTGAAGTTCAGTAAATTCCTGGATCCAGGTGGTTATCACATTTGCTGGTGATAACTAGATTTTATTGAGTTTTATTTGGAGTTATATTTTTAGTTATATTTGAGATTTTATCAGGGTTATTCCTTAAACAACGGCCGTTATATTGCAATTATTTTTAAAAGTAGTAAGCTGATGTAACGTTTTCCTTTAACCCTGAGAGGGGCGTTACACTCACCAATCACGAACACAAAAACCAACATTCATAACCAAAATGCAAATTTGATTGAAGTTAAACTCTATATTAGTAAATACATTAAACATTACTAAATTCAACAAGAAAAATACCACAGTCAATCTGACTCCCAGCACAAATGCATCCACACAACCCTCTTGGTGCATCTAACATAACAAATTGTCCATGCAAACAGGCTAATCTAAACAAAAAAATACCTTCTTCGCACGGCAAAGCAGATTGTCAAAAAGTGTGTTCTTGAACTGAAGCCATTTGCACAATGGATGTTGGTCCCTATTCTAAACAATCACACAATCATAGAACAGTGAAAGAAGAAGCAGATAGATTCCCATTCATAACAATATATCGAGAACATTGGTATACCGTATGAAAATGGCCGCTGCTCTCCCTCTAGAGAGAGAGAGCAGCCTGAAACTTTTCTATGCTATTCTGCCTCTATAGTCTAATGCCTTCTCTTTTTTTTCCTCATAAGTTAGCTTCCTTTTATAGGAGAATGAGGCTAACTTATGGCTTACAAGAGACCTAATGGGCTGATATGGCTCTTGTGGCCCATTTACACATTTAACTAACAACTACACAAATACAAAGGCATGTAACTAGATTGGACACCAGAAAAAGTCCTAACAATCTCCCCCTTGGTGTTCAATCTTGTTTGATCAGCATTGCAGCGCGGATGTCTTTGTCTTTGTGTTCAGTTGCTCCTCAATGCAGCTCAGCTTCCTTTGTCTTTGCGCTCGGCTTCTTGAAAAGGTTTTTTGAAGAAATCCTTGCAATCTCCCCTTTGATGTCTTCATGGCAATTTGTTCTTTGATGCCGGGGAGTTGAAGAATCTTCAGGATGTAGCTTGTGATCTTTACCTCTCAGAAGTTGCTCTTGATCAGCATTAATGAATTCCGATGGCGCCTCTAGAACGAGTGTTCAGGTGATATACAGGCGCACACAGGATTCATCTTCAAAACTTGTATACTTGACCTTTGTCTCCTCAAAGTTTACGTGGCACAGCGGAAAATTATTGTTTTTGAAAAGATCTTATCGGTGGCACAGCGGAAAGATATGGTTAACTTTGAGCGTAGCTGACTGTTTGATTTGAAGCTGACTTGGCAGTCTTGATGATTTGAGAGAGTAGAGATCCGTCTTTTGATTTGTGTTGGAGGAGAGATGTGTCCAAGAATGATTTGTTGATAGTAAACAGCATGTAGACCATTCTCCCCCTCATGACGATCCGATGAATCGGGACGTCATGCTTTTATTCTTTTATTGTAATGTGCTCTTATATTAGTGATAAAATACTCAAGAAAAGCAGATGTTTTTTATTTTGACTGCAAGTTGGTCTTTTGTTTAATTGTTTTTGTGCTAAGAGAAGAGTGAGTTTGATATCGGATGCCTTAACTAGAAAACAGAATTTTAGCTGGCTGTCAGATTTTCAGCTGACTGTCGAAATCTGTGTTTTCAGTTGGTTTCCTAAACAATGAATACCGGTTAATACTTTTGTGTACCTTTTCTTTTTTTATTCTTTTGTTTTTATTTTATGATACGTTTCTTCTCTTATTAGTACTCTTTGCTTTTCTTGAGTATTTTATCACTAATATAAGAGCACATTACAATAAACAAAGTAGAACAGAGTAAGTGATACTAGTCTAATATAGGGATAAATAAAAATGGGTGGCATCATCAAAACTATTACATCTTAATCATCCAAATCTAGGGGACCTAAAACTTTCCTTTCCTTTCAGAGCAGTAGTATCTCGAGTGATATCAACAGAACCCAACATTCATCTTTTGACATTCATAAGTACCAATTGATAATATCTGAGGCTGATGAATACCAAATGATAATTAATGAAATTATCAGATTATTGTTATGTTCTTTCTGCTTGATTTCTCCCTTTATATCATTGAATCTCTTCTGAACCTTTTAATCCCAGTATCAAATGAGCAGGATGACCATAGGATAAGGGTTGGTCATATACTTAGTTTGTCCATGTATGGATTTTTCTGTGAAGAATATGGACAGTAGCAAGTATATTTTCCTACTTTGTGCAGTGGTTGCCTTCTCAAATAGATGTTATCAACCGGATCTTTTGGGATATTAGTAAGGAAGGTTCTTTGGTATGAGAGTAAGGATAATGTGGATTATGTAGTGATGTTGGAACACATAGTTGGTTACTGATCTATTGATGTATATGTGTGGATAATGGATAGATCAGTAAGTGTTTTTTTTCCTGGAGGTTAGGGAGAGTGAATGTAAAACCATATTCAATATCTTCCAGTTTTATGATCTTCATTAGCAATGAGCTAAATGAGATTTCTCAGTTTTATTCCTTCATAAGATTAACATCAATCAACAGTTCATCCTCTTAGTAATGTTACTATTTGGATTTACTTAAGTATAAGATTTTTCAGTTTGAGAAAGGAATAAAATTATCTGAATGTTCTTTTGAGTGAAACACAGATGGGATAAATGTTTGAATACTCAAGATAAACTGAGTATGTACCTGGAGAAGTGTTTGAATATACATCTTCATGATCATCTTTCTTTGCTGGAGTTGGCAAGATGAGTGATGTCATGAGAGTAGGTTTGACTTCTTCTTTATGTTTGCATGAAAGTCCCTTGATTTGGCTTTGTGAATCAGGAGTTTGATAAATAGCTTGTTGTCTCCTTGCTGGTTTCTTTTCCTTCAGAGTAATTATACTTCATGATATTTTCCATCTCAACTGTCTATAAGTGTTTAGGGAAATTGGTGGTTGATCTTTTGTTCAAACTAAGCCGGTTAAGAAACTGACTCTATGAACAACGACTCTGATACCAATTGATGGGTCCCAAGTGAGGTAAAAGTCTAGGAGGGGGGGGGGGGGTGAATTGACTTTTAAATCTTTTCATTTTCAACCCTTTTTTCTCTAACAGAATGAGTTCTAATATCTTTTGGGAGATATTGAAACATACAGAGGAAGTCTTGACCTTAAGAGTGTGACAATTTATAGAAACAAAGGTTATGACCCTTTTAGTTGTGAGAGAGATGGGTTAAACAGGATGCAATTGTGTTTGCCAAGATCAGCTCGCTCAAGGAGTAGGCTGTTGAATCCTTAAGAGTTAGACTGCCAGATTTCTGGGAGCTGGCTGTTGAACCTCTAGGAGCAGGCTACTGATTTCGTTGTTTTATCAATGTTTGAGGCATAGAGAAGAACTATGACCTTGAACATTGTTTTGGCTGTTTAGGATAGAGAAAACACACAGGTATGAAGGATTTAGACCTATTGAAATAGATCACTTTGATGAGCAGAAACAAGGAGTTGATTCACAGTGACCTTAGAGGTTCACTGGACAGTTTTAATGAGCAAGCTGTTTTGTTGTGAAGTTGTGAAGGTGAGTGAGAACTAAAGTGTTTGTTGGGAGCAGAATATAAAAGGTGACACAAGATATATCCTAGTTCAAAGGTGGTGTAATTCTCCTACATCCAGTCCCAACCTATTGCAGATGGATTTCCTCTAAATGATTTTTTTTTAATAAATCAAAATAGAATTTTATTAAATGAAGAAAGCAGTACAAAACGAGAAAGGGAAATAGTACATAAATAAATGAAACATAAATAACTAATCCCAAGGAAAATCTCTAGACCGCGACCTCGTCTTCATGCTATGGCGTTTTTTGTTCTTCTGAGATTTTCTGTAAATCTTGAGTTGAGTGTTCAAATTATCTGTTGGCGGATAATTTTCCGAGGTTACAAAATCTGCTTTGTGACAGATTGCACTGTTGAATTTCGATTTTCTAATTTCTTCGGGGTATGAAATAGGAGGATGACGATCACTTTCGGTTGCATTTCCCAGAATATCGTCTGTGAAGAAAAAGCCATCCGAATGCTCAAAACTGTCAGAGGCGTCCAAGTAAGCTTGGATCGATGTCAACTGGGGTTGTTTTCCGGCAGATAAGCCATGTTGGCTCTCAGTGCATGCCTCCTCAATTTGAAAATTTAAGATCAGTTTGGATATGGATGTAGGGTCCTCGGATTGAATTGTGCTCCTCAGTTGAAAGGAAATTGATTCATCCTGCACAGGCTTTGGAATCCCTGCAAAATTAGAGAAAATATTGAGAAATTTCAACAGGCTCGATTTATGAGGTCCCATGGGAATCTGAATGGAGCTCCCCTTGTGTTTGGCAATTTCCACTAAATGAATATCCATTACATTTAGAACCCAATCTACCCTTGGCTCAGACGTAGATTGTGAGGTTTTTTACAAGGAATTTCAACACCATTCCAAGCTACTTAGTCCTCCCGAGGTTTTTCACTAATGACATTGACTTGCCAAGAGTTACTCATGTTCTTGCCCCTTTCTCACCTTCTGGATTTGAACACAAAGCCCAACAAAATGTCTAACACTAGTCTAATTTACATGGGTGTAAATCTAAACTACTAACTAATCTAAGCTCTATAGGTTTGTATGAATTGTAGCTAACCTAAGAGCATGAGATGAGTGGGGTGGTAGCCGAAGTAGTGAAGGAGAATAGCTGGCTGGATGTGAGCTTGTAAAACTTGATTCCCTTCTATTCCACTTGGCTCCTCTCAGTTTAAAACACTTGATCTTCCCACACTCCTTCTGTATTTATAGACTGATCATTGAATCTCCACCGTTGGCTGAGAATATTAATCTTGACCGGAGCTTGATCTACTTGCATTGTTCCACTTGACTGAGGAGAGCATGGTTGGTCTTTGTCTTCTTGTGACACGGATTAATATCTTCACTTCAACTTGATTCCTCATTTCAATGCAGAGATAAAGATGATTTATCTTTATATCTTTTGTGAATAGGAACTTAGTATAAAAGATGAGTGATGTTTCAATGCTTCCTTACAAATAACAAATACTTGCTTTTAGTAAAATAAATTCATAAGAAATTTATAATGTGATAAAAATTTCTTA